CCACGTTTTGTGAATGATGCAAATATCAGTCCCTCTGTGGTTCACTGTGTGTCTGTCGTGCCAGTCGCATAGTGTGTTTGGTGTTGTTGAGAATTGTGTGAGATGTGACTGCAGTCGTGATCTCGTGTTGCTGATGTGTGTCTAATATCTGAGAGTGTATGTGTTGCTCCTTAGAGTAGTGAATTTGATAGTAATGTGGTGGTCGTAATATGGTAGATCGGCACATAGTACTATTTTATGCTTATCATGTACATGGTATCGCTGATTGTACCAGAGTTGTAGAGTTCGCTATAATGTCGCTCATCTCAAAGTCTATCTGTCCAGTTAGACTTAGTGGTGTCGGAGTCACTATGTGTCGGGCGTCGCGGACGTTGCAGCTATGTAGGATGTGGAGATCATGTAAATAATATAGCCGTTCTCAATTTGACTCGCTGATCCTCATTGGATGTCGGTGTTCTGAACTGACATAGTAGCTCTGAGAAGATAGAAAGTGTGCACCAGTAAGAAAGAGAATGAAATCAGAATCATAATGTACGAGTTGACTGTGTGTGATTGACTAGTACGCTTGATTACTCGCGGAGACAACTATAGAAGAACTGTACAGCTTAAGCTATTGTCAATCTAGAGTATAGTAATAATATATTCTGTAGTTGACCTCATGATCCTCACACCGAATACGTATCAACACGACTCTCCCGAAGGAGCACACGATGACTATATCTACCCTATTACATACCGCGTCTGCGCACATATACAAACGCTACTGGTCTATCATATCTAATCTATTACTTGCACCATCGCGTCCAACAGATGTCAACACCACTAATGCCACACATTGATGAAAATACCGCACCGACTCCACGCACCCACCTTTCTGCACAGCAGATGCTATCACACGACCCGAAATGCCTCGCCCCTCTTGCGGCGGATACTCGCGCTCAATGACGAGCTGAATGCTACTCAAGTGAGTCATCGATACTCGCACGCGAAGAAGAAGACACATCCATGTCTCACTCTCCGGTCTTATTTCAATTTCTTTCCGACAGCTTGTTCGTTAACACGTACTTTTGCTTGCTGTTTATAGTATAAATTTGATATTATCCTGAGGTCGTTGTAGTCAATCTTCTTTGAGTTCAGGACAATAATTAATTATTTATGTTGTACTTTATCGAATGCTTTATTATACAGAGCAAGTGAAGCAATTGTATTTCGGTTTTTTCAGCAGCATTTCCGTTGTTATCATATCTGGACCTAATGCTTTGTTATACTTAAGATTACTGATCGCCAGTCTTATTTCATGCTCGAGTATATTGGTTTGTCTTCGATTTCTTCAAGAGTTTTTTGAACAAGGTCGTGATGTTGATCATCTTTATATATATCGAGGCAATATAATCTCCACGTCTCTGGTATATCTTAGCTGTTAGGGTTTCTGTGTGGTCTTCAATGGCGGCTTTTAACGTCTCTTGTTATGTATCGTATTTTTCTAAATAGATCTCTTGGCTGATTATTTTGATTGTGGCTCTTAATTTCGTTGCATTTATTGTAATATCAGCCCTCCGTTTTAGTTCTTTGTTGAGGACTTTTAAACTGGCTTTCTCTCTTTCACTATGTACACCACTTTGACAAAGATTTCTTTTATTCTCAATTATTTTAAGGGTTTCATCTGTTATCCATTGTTTTGTTTTATTGTAATATTAATCTTTGGACGATTAAGTGGTGTTGTTATAAAATGTTTATTCTTCTTCTTCTTAGCCTTCTGTCGTCCATGTTTGGACATAGGCTTCTCCCAACTATTTCCATCGGTCTCTATCCTGAGCAACATATTTCCAATTTGTTCCGGCTATTCTTTTAATGTTATCAACCCATCTCATCTGTGGTCTTCCTCTTTATCGTTTACTTTCGTAAGGTCTCCAATGTTGTATTGTAGTATTCCAACGTTGGTCTTTCTGTCTAGCAGTGTGACCCGCGAAGCTCCATTTAAGTTTTGCAATTTTTATTGTTATGTCCTCGACTTTTGTTTTGGATGTTACCCAGTCGTTCCTCTTTTTATCTGACAGTCGTATACCTAACATTGCTTTTTCCATTGTTCTTTCTGTTGTCTAGTTTATTTATGTTTGGCTTGGCTAGAGTCCAGGTTTGACATCCATATGTCATAATAGGAAGGGTGCATTGGTTGAACACTTTGCTCCTCAAGTATTGGGGTATTTTGCAGTTCTTAAGTATCCAACTAAGTTTTTCAAATCCTGCCCATGATAGTCTTGCTCTTCTTGTAATTTCCGCACTTCAAGGTTCTCTTTGTCAAGTCTCAGGATTTGGCCTAGGTAAATATATTCCTGGATTTGTTCTATCTCACTGCCGTTTATAGGTATATGTCTGGGATCTTCTGTGTTTGTCATTATTTTTGTTTTTTTATATTCATTTTTAGGCCGTCGTATTGAGAGCTGGCTGCTAGTTCCCCCAACATAATTTGCAGTTCCTTGAATGTGCTCGCTATAATCACTATGTCGTCAGCGAATCTGAGGTGGTTTAACTTGTTGCCATTAACGTTAATGCCATAGGTTGACCAATTTGTAGTTTTAAAGGCGTCTTCTAGGGCTAGGTTGAAAAGCTTTGGTGATATTACTTCTCCTTGTCTCATATCTCTCCTAATGTAGATGGGATTTGTATTTTCGTCTAGTTGTACTATCATAGTTGCATTTTCATATATATTATGTATTAGTTGCCTATATCTTAAGTCTATTCTACAATTATTAATAGCTTGTTCTATGGCCCACATCTCGATACTATCAAACGCCTTTTCATAGTCAACGAAGGCAAGAAATACGAGTAGTTGGTATTCATTTGCATTCTCTATCAATGTTCTCATTATCAGCAGATGGTCTAATGTACTACTATATCCTTTGCAGAAGCCAGCCTGTTCAACCGGTTGGTAATTATCCATTTTGTAGGTTAACCGGTTATTAATAAATAATGTTTAAATGAAATGTTTAATATTCTTTCATATTTCTTGTAATGTACCCTTACCAGTACAGGGCAGACTCTTTTGTACTTCGTCGAGAAGATCGTTTTTCTGTCTTAGTTCTATCCTCGTTGTCACTTTCTGTTTGTTAGGCAGTTTAAGTTTAAGTTTTACTTTAGTTACGAGAAGAGTGTGATTCACTTATCGCCCCTAGCTATGATCTGACTGTTTAAATTGATGATCTCCAGCAAATATTTGTGAGAATATAGTTAGTTTTATTTCTAGACCTATCTCCACGACTTTTCCAAGTATAAAGGCGATGTACATGGTGTTTAAATCGAGTATTCATAATATAATAATGATTTGTGATAGCAAATCCGATTAATTGCTCTACTCTTTCCTTTTTTTAACCTATGCCAAACTTTTTCAGTATATACTTTATGTCGTCATTCCGTGTGGTGTTGCCGACTTTTGCACTAAATTCACCACATATTAAGATTAACTATTTATTTGAAATATTGGTAATTGTTGTTTCAATTTTCCGTAGAATTATGTCGTCTGACATATGAAACCACAGAAAACCAATCACAGAATTAAAGTTGTGTGTCTTTGGATAAATAATAAATGTAAAATGTATAATATATGTATAATATATGAATAATATATGAATAGTCAATCGGATAGCCAAGCGGGCTGGGCGGCTGGCTTCTCCTTCGCTTCAATGCGAGAGATGTCAGTCAAATACCCAGCTCGGTGTACAGAAAAACAAAATTCTAAATAAATCTGCGGGTTAGTCTAGAATATGCTGGTATCTGATCGGCCTATGGTGGAGCAGTACGGCAAGAGGCTTGCGGCTCGGTGATACTTCTCCATAGATTCCTATTGGAAGGGTTGTGTGCCGCCTAAATAGCGGGTATATATATATATATATATATATATTATATATATATATATATATATATATATATATATATATATATATATATATATATAATATATGAATATTGTATGTGTGTAGGTAAACGATAAGTGTATATATGAATTAATAAGTGTGTGTGTGTTGTGTTGTGTATTTATGTGCGGAGTTGAGTGAAGGTTTGATTTATGGAATTATTGTAGCAGAAGGTTGATATGGTGTACCCATATTATGTATTGGACATTTGATTTAATTAGCGGATTGTGCCACTTCTCTTTTCAGGGAAGACAATAAAAAGAATTATGGACGTGAAGTGGATTAGGGATTTCATGTCCGATTATTGGAGAACTATCCTATCGCTCACAGCTTTAAATTAGACGACAGACTTTTATAATTTTAGTGAGATCAGAGTGGCAAAACCTCTATACTTCTGGGATTCAGAGAAGTAATATTTGCATTAATAATTGCCATTATGTGTTCTAAAATGGTTCTTTCCTAACCAATGCGTTTCAGCTTGTCCAGAGATTTTAATGTTATACCTTGCCAGCTCTTTTTCAATGATTGACAGTTTACCTGAGATTGTCTTTAGCCCTTGTGCGTTCCATGTATCGACATTAATTAGTTTTTTGAGTGTTATTTTCTGTGGACTAGTAGCTGAATTTCCACACGATGCCTGATCACCTACATTCGCGTGGACCGGTGGCCAATTTTGCACTCCTTGACCTGGACTCAAGGTAGCACCGGTCGTCACCCGGACTACGTAACGATAGCCGAGTAAATCTCTTAGACATCATGCATAACTTTCTTGGGAATGATAATGCAATGATAATTGCATCGCATTCTGCGATATGGTTCAGCAGAATGGCTGTAATTTTGATAACTCCATTGGATATTGTAAAAATAAAAAAAAGTATACTGTACCGAAAAGGAATCGAGCACACCGTATAGTGTAAATAAAACCTAAAAATACCATTTAAATTAGAAAAAAACGGATCTTATCAAGTGCCAGATTTCGGATAAAGATTTTGCAATTACAATTAAAAATCTGAAGGTCAAGTGCTAATTCCTCTCTATGTATTGATATAAATACAAATAGACTAGATTCGGAAATCATCATACACCATCATGTTCCGTCAGGTGCAGACCTTAGTCCTTTTGTTTGCAGCAACACTTGCTGCATCAGATTTGACTGAACTAGATCAAGCTGCATCCAATCAATTGGTAGCTGTCGTTCAGGTTTGTATAATAACAGGTCTTTTAAACCCTATCGTTGAGAACGTAACAAGTTTTGGTTTTGTTGCAATAAACAATTTAATACTACATTTAAAAGAATTGTATTATTATGTTTACTTAAATTATAAAATTATCGTAATCGTATTTTTTGTCACTGAATAGATTACTATCTTCTCTTACATTCTTGGTAAAGTAGTTTTTATTCTTTTGTGATAAATAAAACTTAGTTTTATTTTTCTATTTGACTTCATCTTCTTCTTTATTTATATCATCCCTGTTCTTTCTCTTCCGGTGTCTATTATGTATTGAGAATCTCGCGAATCTATTGTCATTTATATTATTAGTTTAATTTTATTTGGTATATTACTATTTCGTAAATCTTTTAGATCATTTTTCTTCTCTTAAGTTCATCAAACGCCTATTTAAAGTCTAGGAAAAGTATATGTATTTCTCCGTCGTTCTCGTATGTTTTCTCTATCACTTATTTTAGCATATGTCTAGCGTCTATCGTAAATCTATGATTGTTCCTATGATCCTATGATTTGTTCCGTATTTATTGTTAGTCTGTTAATCTAACTAATTCTCTTTCAATTTATCTACATTTTTTCTGTGCTTTTCGCGTAAATATACCATATCTCACATTTAATTAGTTACATATAGACCATTCTCTATCTATTTTGGTTTGGGTAAATCGTATTTGATCCTATTTGTGTCTTTATATGCTTTGAAATATTATTAAAATAATAATTTTACTGTACGAATACTTTAAAACATTTTTTTGGTTAAATTTAATATTAAACAATTTGTGAAATAAATTAGAAAAATTCAACTTCTTCTCGGCACCTATGTTTTTTAGAAAAATTTGGTAAGCAAGATGAAAAATTTTCTTTAATAGATTATTAAAAAAAAATCATTTATTACAAAATGGGCAAAAACCAATAAAGAACAATCAAAAATCAATGTTTCTTCAATACAGAGTCTTAAATATTTCAAAACGATACAGAGGCTTAAAAATTGACCCAGAAAATTGTTTAAATAAAAAAAAAATTCACAAAATTTCAGCACAATCAATCAAGTATTTTTGGCAAAATAATTTTGCAATCCAAGTTCATTTTAAAATTATGCAGAGCCAACAAAAAAGTTTTAAATAGTAATATTCTGTAAAGCAAAATATTAAGAAATTAGGACTGCTTTAAGAAATCATGAAATATCATGATTGTCTTTGCAAGATGCCATTGACATTACCAAAAGTTTGCCCTTATTATGATAAATTGATCTCTGAGTTGTACGGTGCTTAATAGTGAATATGTATTTATTGCTGAATAGTTCTTGAAGTTTTTCATTTACGAGCATTTCATTTTTCCTGGATTTTCTAGTTCTTCTTTGTCGTCTCTTAGAATTTCTCTTAAAATTCACATTAAAAAGACTTTCAATCGTCTAACGTTTATTTTTGGAAGCCATGTTTCGATTCCCTACTGTAACATAAAATAAATATAAGCATCTACAAACTGACATGGAATATGGGAAAGTGAAGTTTGTAATGATATATTTTTTTTTGTTAAAAAGCTGATCGGGGATTTTGTATTCCTGCAAATATCATCACATCATAATCAAGATTGCTTGTGAGGTTGCGGCTAAGATATTTAAACCTACGTTTAAGTAGAGAATAGAGAGTTTCAACTTAAGTGTCAATGTCTTAGCCACATTACATATACGTACTTTCTGAAATTCCTAATTTATATCTCTTGAAAGATATTATCCAATTGTCTACAGATTATTAATAAATATTACTGATTTATTTAAATCAAATGTGATAAGATAAACAAACATCTAGTTAAAAAATTATTTAATAACAGACAGTAAAATACTGAACACCTAAATTTGTAATGAAATAAAATTTGTGGTTAGTTACCATATGTTTTTGTTTTAGTTGTTTAGACATGGACACAGGACCCCTACAAAATTTTTCAAAAATGACCAATATACTGATTTATCAAAATATTGGAGCGGCCTTGACTTAGGACAACTAACAAATGTAAGTAATATACTTTTAAAATATTTCCCCTTTAAATTGACGCACACTGCTTTCTGGGTCGTCTAATTTTTACTCCTAAAGTTCTATAAGTTATGGAGAAAAATAAAAACTAAATAAGTAATATAGAGTGGCTAGAAATAAGAACTAAGAACTATGCCAAATTAAGATGAATTTAAATTGTTCAGAATTTCCTTTGTTTCGATTACATATATGTTAACTTACCTAAATTATCGGTTTTTTCTTTGTATATTATAATTTTTTTGAAGCGAAGCTTCCATATTGGAGTTGTATTATTATTTTCTCTTCAATAAAATACTAAGACAAGCATCACGAAACTAGCGTCACAAGATGGCGTCGGCACGGGTAGCGTCAGGATAGCGTTTCTGACTCGATTCGTTATTTTCGATGTTTTAGTTTCTAGTCATCATATATTTACTTTAAACAGTTTAGATTAGATTTAGAACTGCATGAATAACTAATAAAGTAAAGACATTAAATGAGAAGTAAAAAAATTAAAAGAATATCTGTCACTAAAAGATTATTTTCGTAACAATTGTCAAAATTTAATAAAAGTCACACATTTTATCCGATTAACAACATTAATAATCATCTGTTTAAATTTGTATAATAATTTTCGTTTTGAAATAATTTCATATAAGCACAGTTAATATTTTTAAACATATTATTAATTTGTATAATTATTAAATTGACTATTTAATTGACAATATTTATAATAGTGAATAATACTTATATATTTATATTGAATTTGACACATTTTTATAAGTAAATAACGTATGCTTTGTTAATACGTTAAGAGGTGGCGTTAGGAGCAAACATAATAATTTATTGAATTTGTTTAAAATATAAAAAATAAATAAATACTAGAATTATTTCATTCGTAATAATTATTCCAATAAGTAAATTGTTTAATTAAATTGAAAGAGACTTGGAGGAGGCTGTCCAGACTCTACATAAGGTTGCTGGTCCTGAGACACACTGTCTACGAGGACTTGGTGATCACAACTGAATCAGTTAGTTGCGACCAATCAGACAAATAAAAAAGAAACACTTTCAAAGCTTCTTAAAACAGATGAAACACGACTTCTACGGAACACAAAAAGAAATATGGATAATGACAGAGGACAAATAAAAGAGATAAACGAACTAATAAAAACGAAACACATTCAGAAGGAAACATGGATAGACTACTTTCGATTAATATTTCCTAAAGGGACGATAATGAACCACCAACATCAGAGGTGACGACAAACGAAGAAATTAATATTGAGGAAGAAGAGGTGAAGGAAGCAATAAGGAAATTAAAAAATAGAAAATAATAGAATTAAACAGAATTCATCAAGAATGGAGATCAAGCATCCTAATACCTTTTTGCAAAAAGAAAGACAAAATCGGACTCGGAAAATTACAAAGGAATTAATTTATTAAACACAACATTTAAATTAAAATCCAAAGTGGTAACAAATAAACTGAATGAAATTCATCATGATCATGCACCGTCGCTATATTTATAGTGAAGCAAGTCCGAGAGAAATCATTAGAGTACAACACACCAGCGTATCTATGGTTGGTGAACCTTAAGAAGGCATTTGAGGCAATCAAAAGACATTATCACCAACTACAGAAGGACTGAAGTCAAGAATGCTTTTACTAGCGCCGAGAAATATATAAAAGACACTAATAACAAAAGAAAATCTAAACCCTGGATGACACAAAAAATTCTGGGAATGATGGATACTCGAAGAGCCTACAAAAATAAAGATAATGAAAAATATAGGGAGATACATCGTCAAATCAAAAAAGAAATAGCTACCGCAAAAGAAAATTGGATGATAGAAAACTGCCAAGAGATCGAAGAATTAATAAAGAAACACGACAGTCAAACGCTTCACAAAAAAATAAAAGATCTAGCTGGAATGACAAAACAAAGACTCCCTTGTAGATTAACAAACGACGAGAATGAAACGATATGGGAATTAAGGCTGTTTTATCGGTGCACCAAAATTTTTTCTCTGTTATTTACCGACGAAATGTCTCGAAATTTGGACATGTTATACGAAATTATGTTGCTTTTAAACTGATGGTTTTACTTTTTTTATTTTTTTGAATTTTCTGTTGAAAAATTGGATTATACTGTTTAACGTTCTATTATAACCAAACTTTTCACGCCCATCAGTTGAAAGAGTTTTTTTTTCTGTAATCGTTGATTCTTTTTTCACCTTTCTGTGTCCAGTAATAATCGAGAAAAGCGTATTCAAACTTTGAAGAAAATTGCTAAAAAATACTGAAATCTAATAGTGAAACGTGTTCCTCATCATTGTCGCTGAGCTTGATCGTTATCGCATTAGTGACGTCAAATTACATGAGCGTACGGTACGGTCATATTTTTATTTCTCTATGGGTACGGTCAGTTAGTTCGCTTGAATTAGAATCCATTTTAGTTCTTTCATTCTTGTATTTTCTTTATCAACTTGCTTAGTTTTTACAGTTTACAGTATTCTTATTTATTTTGAAAACATTGAAATTATTTAGTTTACGTGTATGTTAAGTAATATATTATTAGTTTAGTGGTATAAGTTAAAAGTTCTTTAGTTTACGCGTATTTTTAAGTATAACATTAGGTTAGTGATATAAGTTATAAGAGACAAGATAAAAAATGAGTCCCAGTAAACGTCCTATGTCAAGGAAAAGGAGAGCAATTGCACTGCTTTAGTATTTATTATTTATATTACAACCGTTTTATAAAAAAACGCTAAATAATAAAAAGCTTTTATTTAACTTTATATATATATATATATATATATATATTATATATATATATATATATATATCTATTCAATATATTCATTCAAGGTTTGAATAATCATTCTCCATTTTCATGCAACTTTTCTAATATGGAGATTATTAAAGAAAAAATGGACGGATTGATAAGTACATTGACTTTTAAATGTCAAAATCTTTCTAAACAACGTATGGGGACATTACATAGAAGAACTATTCTCGGACACACCACTAAACAACATAATATATAAAACGCATGAAACCAGTCCTCCTATATTAAAACAAGAAGTAGAGAGAGCAATCAAAAACGCAAAAAATGGGAAAGCCCCTGGCCCCGATGACATACATACGGAAGTCATAAAGCTACTGGAAGAGAAACATTTAAATATAATCGTCAAATTATTTAATCAAATATATACAAGCGGTTAAATTCCACAAGACTCGTTAAAATCAGTCTTTATTCCCCTTCCAAAAACTAAGGGAGCAAAGAAGTGTGGTGATTTCAGACTTATTAGTTTAATGTCGCATATGTTAAAGTTATTCTTGAAAGTTATTCACCAACGCATTTATAAGAAATGTGAACAGGATATCAGTGATAAACAATTTGGCTTCCGAAATGGATTTGGGACACGGGAAGCATTAACCAGTTTTATTATACTGCTGCAAAAATGTCGAGACCAAAAAAAGGATCTCTTTTTATGTTTTATTGACTATCAAAAGGCCTTCGACAAAGTAAAACATGATAAGCTGATGGATTGCCTTCACAAAAAGGGACTAGACGAGAGCGATTTTAAAATTATCCAAACGCTGTATTTTAACCAAAAATACAGCGTTTTTGCTCGTGCTTTGCACGAGCACTAGAGCAATCAAGAGAAGGTGTTAAAATTAACGGCAGAGTTCTAAATAATGTACGATACGCCGACGACACGGTCCTAATTGCAGAGAGCGCACAGGATCTCCAGACACTCTTAGATCGCGTCAGATCGATCGGAGAACAATACGGCCTCAGCATTAACGTCAAGAAAACAAAAACAATGATTGTCTCCAAAACATCCATCCATCCACCCATGGCTTTAAACGTGAATGGTAACATTATCGAAAATGTCGAGAAATTTCGATATCTAGGGTGCTGGATAACGAAAGGTATAGATCCAGACATAGAAATAAAATCGGGAATTGAACAAGCAAGAAATGTCTTTTTAAAAATGAAACAAATGTTTACGTCCCAAACACTCAATCTCAAAATACGATACCGAATGCTGAAATGTTACGTTTACAGCACCTTACTATAAGGAATGGAGGCCTGGACCTTCAAAATCAACTCACTAAGGCGTTCGGAAACTTTTGAAATGTGGTTATTTCGAAGGATGCTGAAAGTCCCCTGGACAGCGCATATGAGCAACGAGCAGGTCCTACACAAGATGGGTACCGACAGAGAACTCTTAAAAATAATGAAAACACGGAAAACCTCATATTTGGGACACATATACAGAAATGAGAAATACCAGCTACTGGAGCTTCTTATAGAGGGGAAGGTAGAAGGAAAACGTGGTTCTGGTAGACGGCAGGCGTCCTGGTTGAAGAACATTTGTGAATGGACTGGTTTGGATTCTCAATCTTTAAAAAGAAAAGCCAGGGACAGAAATGATTTTGCTGAGGTTATCGTCAACCTTCATTGAAGACGGCACCCAAAGAAGAAGAAGAAAAGACATTATCCACTTACTGTACGCAAGAGAGATACTTCTAGGAAAAATCAAATCGATCAAAAATATCCGCCAAAACAACACAATAAAAGTAAAAGTACAGGACGAACCTATCCTATTAAAGCAATACTACTCTCTCAAAGTTAAGATGATTTCCAACATATTCTGCACCGATTTAATGTAACTGCCGTAAAATTTAACACATTTTACAGTTAATTTCCCCAAAAATAAGATAAAATGCATGGTTACAACAACAAATTTACAGAGATGTAAATTTGAGCTGGAAGGTCAGATAATAGAACAAGTGATGAAGTTTAATTATCTAGGCATCAGATTATCTAGCTACGGAAAGCTCGAAATGGAAGAGGAAGATCAAGTAAATAGAGCAAACAGAGCAGCAGGCTGCCTGAATGAAACAATATAAACAAATAAAAATATCCGGAGAGAAACGAAAGGCAGAATTTACAAAACAGACATTAGACCAATAATGACATACGCGGCAGAAACCAGATCTGATACAGAGAGGACAAAAAGATGTTAGAAACAGCAGAGATGAAAACACAGAGATGAAAAATTGATGGTAAGACACTATGGGGCAGAGCTACAAGTATAAATATACGACGTAGAAGCAAGGTAGAGAACACAAATAACTGGTTAAGAAATAGAATAGTAGAATGGAACGACAAATAAACCAAATTACAACAAATAGTGTAGTAAATAAGGCTCTCCAGTGGTTCTTCAATAGGAAGACAATCAGTAGGAAGACCGCGGAAACGATGAACTTACTGAAGGCACATTGAAAAACAGACATGTCTATATATAAAAAAAGAAGAAAAAGAAAAAGGTAGTAGTTACCTTTATTTGATTTTTATTACCAATTAAAATTTCTAGTAAGTTATTAACTGTTTGGGCGAAGATAACTTCTGATTGAACACGTTGTGCATGAGTAAATGGCTTTTTCTATATATTAGTTGACTTTCTTAATATTTTTTAATGTTACTTTTTTAACTTTATTTTTGTTATCTGCATGCATAAAGGCTTAATATATCTATATACTACTTCGAACTTAGAAAAAAAATTTGTCACTATACAACTAAATTCTGATTTAAGCTGTAAATAGTTTTGAGTTTTTAGAACAAGATATGTATATACAAACATTATTATTTAAGATGATTTAACTTTATAATTTTTAATTAATTTTATTTCCTATTCTTTTATTTTAGCTAGGGAAACAACAGCACTATGAGCTAGGACAATTTACTAGGAAACGATATGGTAAATGGCTGTCCGAAAAATATGACAAAAATGATTTCTACGCCCAGACTACTGATGTTGATCGAACACATATGTCAGGACAAGTAAATCTTAATGGGCTCTATCCAGCCAAAAGAGATCAAATATGGAGACGGCCAACTGATTGGCAGCCCATTCCGCTACATCCAGGCGATTCTAATATTTGGGAAACATTCCCCAACTGCGCTGCGTATACACCAGAATTCGCCAAAGTTCTGTCATCCGATTTGTATGCAACTATAGACAAAGAGTACGCAGATGTGTATTCATATTTATCGACGTATTCAGGTGAAAATATTACAACACTATCAAAAGCATACTCCGTGTTTGACTGCTTTAAAAGTGAAGATACTGCTGGTCTTCGTCTTCCACAGTGGGCTTCAAATATATATCCAGAACCATTAACACAACTTATGGGATATTACTTCCATTCAATGTCTTTCACAACTAAACTACAGCGATATTGTAAGTATATTTCTATATAAATATATTCACATATATCACGTATATTAAATTAATCTTAATGTAGTTCCACAACTTTCCTTTAAAGTGTAGTTGCATACAGCATCCTTATTGTTGATTTGCTGAATTGAGAGATATATTAGATAAAAACAAAAAGAGAAATCATACGATTTCTACCTGGCGAAATCGAATTCAAATATCAGCCACCGTGCTTCCTAAAACTTGCGAAGCAAACAGCTTGATGAATAAATCGGCAAGGGAACCTAAAATTGCATTTCAAATGCCGTTCATCATGGCCAATATTCGTAGTGAATTCGATTTCTGGTACTCCAAACGAAGTAAAGAAATAAAACACAAATAGGTGTGTGTGTGTGATATATTAGATAATTTACAGTTAAAAATATTTTGAAATCTCTAAACCAAATCTTCTGGACTTTTGGTTATTTTGCAATATGTTTACGTTTTTTATACTCTCAAAATACTGCAACATAAAAGAGACAATCTGTAAAATGGAAAGATTTCACCAACCTTTTATCTTATCTTCATCTTCAACAAAAAATGTCACAAATAAAACATAATTAAATTTCTTTATTACAGATTCAGGAACTCTTCTAAATTCCATCCTAAACTATTTTGACAACAAAATAAATGGTTCAGTAACCCAACAGTTCAAGATGTACAGCGGACACGATTCAAATGTTGCAGCTATGTTGAGCGCGCTCAACGCTTTTAATCCACCATCACCTCCAGAGTTCGCGAGCAGTGTATATTTTGAACTAAGAAACATTTCAGGATACTATTTTGTAAATGCATGGAGCAAAGATGGATCCAACTTCAAAAAGGTTTCTATAAGAGGATGTGCTTTGGATTGTCCTTTAGAAGAAGTTAGAGAAAGATTGAGTGAGATAGTCGTAGATGTTGATACCAGAACCAAAGAGTGTAATGCCCAAACCACATTCGAAACTATTGAGTCTGAAAAGATGTACAAGCAGCTTATGGAAACTGGTGAAATTGAACGTCTTAGAAACATATTTTAAATTAAATTTATTAAATATGGTTTAAAAATACTATAATATAAGAAATCGTTAAAGAAATAGTATATTTATTATTTTTTGAAAAGCACCCTAGTCAATAAGTGATGGCAATACTCAATACTAAAATAAATTCCAAAATAAGTCTTCACCAAAAGATTATAAATTACAGTGTAAAAAGAATAGCAAGATCTGCTCATGGTATTTCAAATCCTTATACAAATACAAAGCACCAAAACCAAGTTTTAACCCCCAAAACCCTGGGTGCGCCACTGTATGCACTATCTTCAATGCATATAGAAATCATCAAAGTAGCAGAAACGAGATTCTGGAAATATACACGTGGAACATCAAGATATGCTACTTAGGAAAAGTGATACTACTTGAAATACGTGACTAACTTTAGGCCAATATCATACAAATGATGTTACTACAATTGTAAGCCAACCCTATTAATATAAATATGGTCAAAGTCTATGCTACCTCTGCAGACAAAGAAAAAGAAGAAGCAATTGAGTTTTTTTAAGAAATCAATCGAATCATACAGATATTTTCACGACAGAGTTTTCATCATAATGGGTGATTTTTATATACCCCTTGATGTACGCTCTACATTTTTAATGCAGGACTATCTAATCATGTAGTGATATGTACCAAGTTTAACACTCTTAATAAACAATCCTCGAAAACCCAACGTATTGGTAGGATTTTTTCTGCTCAAAATTTTCGTAAATTCTAAAATTTGTGCTTGACTTCTAAGTGACACTTTTCCTCTGTGGACGTGGACTGTAATTTTAGTAATTTTTAGATAGGCTTGTGTGTATTTTTAAGGTATTTTCTTTAATTAAAATTTAAATCAAATCATCAAAACCCTAGACTACCAAAGACATCCCCACATCAGCCAAGAATATGCGTTCACTAAACTGTACATCAAAAAATTGACTTTCACTTTGTCAACGCCTTTGTCACGCCTTTGTCCTGAATATATCTCCAAGAACAGAGAAACACATGTAAAACTTATCAAAACCACAAAAAATGTAGTATCAGAATCGTCTGAAAAGCTTTAAAAATATTCCAATGGGAAACTTGGTCCACAATAAACGATTTTCGAAATAAAACTTTCTTCTTCTTCACTTGCCATCTCCGCTACGAAGGTTGGCTATCATCATGGCAATGTTGACCCTGGAGGCTGCCGCTCGGAACAATTGTATGGAAGTGCAAGCAAACCACTCCCTGAGGTTTCTCAACCGTGACATTCTTCTCCTACCTATGCTGCGCCTACCTTCAATCTTTCCTTGCATAATTAGTTGTAACAGTTGATATTTATTCCCACGTGTAATATGTCCCAGGTATTGTAGTTTCCTCATTTTTACACTCAATACGACCTCCTTTTGTTTGTTCATCCTGTCTAATACAACTTGGTTAGTTATCTTATCCTTCCAGGAGATTTTTAACATTCTTCGGTACGCCCACATCTCAAATGCCTCCAGCTTAACCATACATTGCTTATTTAGTGTCCACGCCTCCACCCCGTATAACAGGACCGAGAAAACATAACATTTAGGCATTCGTATTTTCAGCTTTAGGCTTAGGTTTAGGCTACACAACATTTGTTTCATATTGTTAAAGGCACTGCGGGCTTTCTCTATTCTTATTCTTATTTCTCTGGTGTATTCGTTTGACTCGTTAATATTTGTTCCAAGGTAATTGTAATTTTGTACTCGTTCACTGAGATTCTGTCCTACATTTCTGTTGATATTATTGATACGTTTCTTTGTAATTATAATGAATTTGGTCTTCTTTGTATTCACTGACAGACCAAATTCTTCACTTGCTTCTACCACTTTGTTTAGTAATCTCTGTAGGTCGTCAATATTTTCTGCTATGAGCGCGGTATCATCAGCATATCGGATATATGCAAATGGGGTGACCGTTGATCTTTACTCCGGCTTTTTCGTTCATAAGAGCTTTTTTAATAACTTCTTCCGCGTAGACATTGAACAAGGTTGGAGACAACACACAGTCCTGCCGAACACCTCTTTTGATCTGTATTCTATCTGATATCGAGCTGTTAATTCGTACTGTAGCTTCTTGTTTGTAGTATAGATTCCTTATCACTCGCATGTCCCTTGTATCAATATTTTTATTTTCCAGTATTTGTATCAATGGCCTATGTTTTACTGTATCAAATGCTTTGTTATAGTCTAGGAAACATACAAATATGTCCTGATTTACGTCTAAGCATCGTTGTGTTAGAACATTAAAAGCAAACAGTGCCTCTCTAGTTCCTAGTCCGTCTCTAAGGCCAAATTGAGAGAGTCCGATGTCAACTTCCAATTTTTTATATATTCTCCGATGAATGATTTTAAGAAAGACCTTTAATATATGACACACGAGACTGATGGTGCGATCTTCCAAGCATTGTCTCGCATTAGACTTTTTGGGTATGGCTATTATTGTTGTTACTAGCCATTCATTAGGTATGATACCAGATTTGTAAATGCTGTTAATAGTTCCACGATCTTTATTAAGTTGTTGCCTTTGATGAGTTTAATTATGTCTATTGGTAGTTCATCTGGGCCTGTAGCCTTCCCCGACCTCATTTCTTTAATCGTGTATTCCACTTCATCTCTTGTTATTTCTGGTCCTGTGTCACAGTTTATGTATTTGTTATCTGTTTATGTAGTCGAAATAAAACTAACACAGCTCAGTGATTTTTTTCTTTCAAAAAATATAAAATTAAATATTATGCCTCAACAAGATCCTATTTCCTATCTCCTCAATTTCAAAAAGATCTCGAAATCTGAGCTGATCTAAACACAGTAGTATATCAAAAGCAAATCTCGCTGTAGTACTGATGTACTATCCATAAAAATTTTCTTAAATCTTCCAAAAAATGTGTTTTCTGATCTCACTAATTAACGATTCCTTTGAAAAAGGTATATTTTCAGAGTACCTGAAGACAGCCATTATTATTCTTCTTCATAAGTGTAGCGAAAAGTCTAATGTCTGCCACTAGAGACCTATTGCCTTGAGCCTTCAGTAAGAATCCAATTCATGACACCAGTATCACAATAAACGGTACCCAACTTGAAAAAGTAAGCGAATACAAATACTTGGGAACCCTCATTAATGAAACAGGTGACCAAAATTACGAGATAAAAAGACGTATTGAAATTGCCAGGTCTACCTTTATAAAAATGAAAAAATTATTTTGTAATCGTGATATTAGTATTCATCTACGAACTAGAATGTTAAAATGCTATGCATTTAGTACTTTGCTTTACGGTGTTGAGGCATGGACTCTTAAACAGAGGAATATTAAAAATCTTGAAAGCTTTTGAGATATGGTGCTACCGCCGTGTACTAAGAATAAGTCTGGGTGGATAGAATTACAAATGAAGAGGTAATACGCAGAATAAAGTTATTATAAATATAAAAAGAAAAAACTTGAATACTTAGGCCACCTGATGAGAGGACAAAAGTACACGTTCCTACAAAATAAAATGCAAGAAAAGATCCAAGAACGCAGAAATCCAGGCCGTAGAAGAATGTCCTGGATAAGAAATTCAAGAGAAAAAAATTTTGTTTAAAATCCTTTATAAAAGGTATATAAAAATGCCCCAAACGGGCTATCACAAACACATTGCAAAACGTTTTCGGATTAAACAATCCATCATCAGTGGATTCAAACAATCATCAAACAATCATTCTTCTAATAATTTAATTTTATCTGACTCATTTATATTGACAATTCAGACATACATTATGCATTTTAAAGTAGACGACTTTAAAATGATATTGTTAACATTGTTGAGTTGTGCTCCTGGGATGACTTTACTTATAAGATAGTTCATTAGATTACATGAAATCAACTTTAATTTCGGAATATCCGTCAGAAAAAAATCATGTAATTCGTCTTTAAAAAGACAAACACATGACATGATGACAGTAAAATTCTCCTGTTAGTGATTCCGTAGTAAATTATGAGGGAAAAACCAGGAAAAACAACCTCATAATACTATCTCGACATGGTAAGTATTTGTCCGTGCATTTAGTTTACCTTCAATAAACACCACAATTCTAAGTTTATATGTTTCGTTATTTAAAAAACATAAATGATGTATCCTCTATATGTTACTGACTTACTAATGCTGGTATTTTTTTATTAACAACTTCCTCTTTCAATATTGGTAACCAGATCCTACTACATTCTGCCGAGGAATTTGCGACACAATTGGCCTCACTTGGCATAATTAGAGCCGCGTCTTTGATTTTTCTTTTTTTACCATCCGTTTCTTTTAGGACTACATTTGAATTATTCCAGTATTCCTATGTTCATTATCCCATGCGTCTTTACATATTTGAGATCTATCAAATTCTCTATTTTTAATATAAGATTGATGTTCACTTATTCTAACATTTAATGGCCTTGATGTCTCACTTAAATAAAACTGATCGCATTCACAAGGTATTTTATAAATGCAATTCTTTGTCCTTTCTTATTCATTGTTAGGTTTGGTTTTGGGTGATATGTTTTCTGACGGATATTCCCAAGTTAAAGTTCTTCTTCTCCTTCTTCTTCTTCAGCCTGTGTTCGTCCACTGCTGGACATAGGCCTCTTCCATTTGCTTCCATCGATTTCTACTTAACAGTTACAAGTTAAAGTTAATTTCATGTAATCGAATGAACTATCTTATAAGTAAAGTCGTCCCAGGAGCGCAACTAAACAATATTGGCAATATCATTTTAGTCGTCTACTTTAAAATGCATAATGTATGTCTGAATTGTCAATATAAATGAGTCAGATAAAATTAAATTATTAGAAAAATTTTTCACTATATAACAAAAAACAAAATTTTTTTAATTTACTGTTTGTATTTTGAGAACGATTTCCGAAGTGAAAATTGAAACGTCAGCAAACGTATTTTTATCTTTAATTGTGGCTTATTTCCAGTTAAATAGTAATTAATTTAAAATGCCACAAGAAAATGAGTTCAGAACAATATTTGTCCATAAAATCGTTACAATTTTTTAGCATATTTCTATTCTATTATATTCTGAGACTAAAAACTTGAAGACAACGCTTGCAGATATTTCCAAACTACCCAAATAAGTATACTAACGTGCTACAGTTCCTCAAAGATACGTCCAACATGTCAACAGTGCAATTGTGTCCTTAGCGTATGCCACAAATTAATGGACTGCTAACAGTACACCAGCCAAGCCCGAAAAAATAACTTGACGATATAGCTGCAAATATTCTAAACCATCCAAACCAACCATAAAATCTACAATTATAGTTATTAAAATTTTTTAATCTGTACGAAAGCAATTATCATTTGAAAATGTTTATTTTTCCTTTAAAAATCAAACAAAAAAATACCTGGATTAATACCTGGATTAAGAAATAAAATGAAGACTGGACAAAAAGAGATGATCCAGATGGGTGCGCAAAAATCATGACGTATAAAAGTTGAAATAAAATAAAAATAATCTTTAAATTCGTTGATCATCTCTTAGTTTACTGGTATGCTTATCGTTGTCAGAAAATGTTGAAAACGTGCCTGATTTTTTTTAATTAATTTGATCACAAAAGTTAAATAAAAGAGTAAGTACTTGATCTTAAGTATTTTTTTAAAACAATAAAATATTTAAAGGTCAAGTACAAATATACATTTTTCATTAGTATAAATACAAATAAAATATTTTTAATACGCAGCGCGTGCAATCATGTTTTTTCAAATTCAATTCCTGGTCCTTTTGTTTTGGACAGTAATCGCTGCATCAGATCTAACTGTGTTAGATGGAACTGCATCAGATTTAACTGCATCCAATGAATTGGTAGCTGTAGTCCAGGTTTGTACATTAAAATATTTTTTACTCTAAATTAAGCAGAAATACAATTATAAGTTAATATTTGTACAATTATCATGCAATGTCTTGAAAGATTATAGTTTTAACAATGCATTTCTTCCTATTGAGAAACCATCCCTTGCCTTCTTTACTACTCTCTTTGTTGTCATTTGGCTTATATTATCGTTCCATTCTACTCTTATTTATTACGCAGTCCTTGATGATCTTTTTAGAATCAAGTAGTCAACTTTAGCTAAAGTATCTCCTTTTTACCACCACAAAGACAATCATGGCAATTACTAACCTGGCTAGCTCTTCTATAGTTCGGCTTATCATTAAGATAAATAATGGTAGCTAGGACAATCACAAGTAGATCAAAGCATAACAAAAAATTTAAACAAATATTTGTTTTAATAAATTAATAAGTTCTAACTATGTTACAGTAAGTTCTGTCATCATCATCATCAACTAGCCTCTAACGTCCACTGCTAAACATATGCATGCTTTTCCACTTAGTCTGATTTTGCGCCATCTAAATCCAATTTGTAGTCACTCTCTTTATGTCATCTGTCCATCTCGTTGGGGGTCGACCTCTATTAATGTAAGCTTGTATTCGGGGTCTCCATGCCAAAATTCTTTTTGTCCACCAGTCATCAACTGATCTTGCTACATGACCTACCCAGTTCCACTTTGGTGTTGTTGTCCTTTCAATAACGTCTGCTACTCCTGATATTTTGCGTATAGTAGCATTGGGTATTCTATCACGTAGAGAAATCCCTAACATTATTCTCTCCATTGCTCTTTCCGCAACTTGTAGTTTACTCATTGTTGTTCTTGTGAGTGTTAGGGTTTCTGCGCCGTGGGTCATCACTGGCAAAATACACTGACTAAATACTTTTCTGTTTAGACACATTGAAATATTAGACCTAAAAATATCCTTCATATTTTCAAATGCAACCCAAGCGAGGTTTATTTTTCTTGTCAGCTCGATTGTTTGGTTGTCTCGACTTATTCTGATCCCATGGCCCAAGTATTAATAGGAGTCAACCGGCTCAATATCTTTGTGTTCTACTGAGATGTTTTAGTTGTGGACTAAATTTGTCATAAATTGTGTTTTTGAAAAATATATTTTTAAACCCGATCTTTTTGTGACAGTATGGAGTTCTTGGAGCATTATCTGTGCCTGATCAAAGCTGTCTTCAATAATAACGATATCATCTGCAAATTTAAGGTTATTTAAAAACTTTTTCATCACATTGATGCCCTTTTCGTTCCAATCTATTGTTTTACAAGCGTATTCTAGCAAAGTTGTAAATAATTTAGGAGACATGTTGTCTCCTTACCGAACCCCTTTTTCAATACAAAAAGTCCCAGTATCTTCATTAAGTCTTACACAGGCTGTAGCATGTTGATAGATGTATCTGTTGAGGGATATGTATCGGTGATCTATTCTACATTGTGTTAGAGCTTAGAGTATTTCACTTTGATTGACCTTATCAAATGCTTTTTCAAAGTCGACAAAGACAAGTATTAGGGGTCTATTTATTATATTTATTGGTTTTTTCAATGGTCGACTTAATGGTTTGCAAATGATCATTTGTTTCGTATCCACCTCCAAATCCTGCTTGCTTAAAAGGTTGATAGAAGTCTAGTTTTGATGTCAAACCTATTAGTTATTATCTTCATAAACAACTTATAAACGTGAGATAACAAGCTAATATGTCTATAGTTCTTTAGCTCTGTTAAATCTCCCTTTTTGTGCATGACTACTATAACAGCTTTATTCCACTGAGATGGTGTATCCTCTTTTGAAAGGCATAAGTTATCTAATTGTGTCAATGCTTTTAATACTGTCTTTGCTTCTGCTTTAACTGCCTCAATAACGATTTGGTCATTACCAGCTGCTTTATTGTTTTTCATTCGATTTAATGACTTTGAGACTTCTTCGATTGTTATTTCTGGATAATCTCTGAACCAACATTGTGGACTTTTCTCAACTTGGTGCCGTCTTTCTTAACCCTTTCTCTATATAATTTTGTATAAAATTTTTCAACTACCTTAATTATCTTATGTTTATCTGTTACCACTTTTCAATTTCGATCTGCGAAATTAAGTCCTAAAAACATACCTAAACAAACAAATATAAAAAGGTGGCGGTGGCCTTAAAATTTAAGAAAAATGTCCACTTAAATGAACCACTTAACTTGTCATGCTGTTTTTCATATACAGCTGTTGGATGAAAAGTTAATGATTTTGACGATGTTATATAACAGGTGGAATGGATTATTTGGTTACAATAATGGTTTTGTATTCCATTGGATGTGAAATGGATCTGGTGGTGGATTAGTTCTATTCCATTGATCTAAAATCAAGCTTGGTGGAACAGATTTATTGTTAGTCCATTTTTATCACAAGTTTCGGTGAAAGATATAGTTCTAAAAATACCTTGGTGGAGTGTTGGTTGGTGATGGAAAAAGTATTCATACACCTAGAATCTAATAAAGTATGCATACACCACTCTAATAAAATAATATCAGAATACCTATATTACTTTGTTTTAGATATTTAGACATGGGCACAGGACACCTACAATATTTTACAAAAACGACCAGTATAGAGATTTATCAAAATATTGGAATGGCCTTGACTTAGGACAGCTAACAAATGTAAGTAATATTATCATATAACTGTTAAATTAGTTAAGGCACCACATTTTACGAGACTGTTTTATTGCACTTATAACCCTTTTATAAAAGTTGCTTACAGTGTTGCTCAGTTGCCCAGTTACTAGGTTTCTATAGTTCGAATTAATTTTATTTAATTTGTTCACAATTGGTTTGTTTGTTAATTATAATTTTGCCCACCATAGATACATATTACTATTATAAAAAAAGATCAAAGGTCATATATAACATCTTAAGATAATTGGGTTTTCCAAAAAACTTACATAGCTTAATTAGATTAACACTCCAACATGAGAAGATAAAAATTAAATATTTTAGGAAAGCATCAAAAGAATCAAATACTATTGACGTAAATACTAAAGTACAAATAGCGAGATCCCTGCTACGAACACAGGAATCAGAATTTAAAGAAATTTTCAAAAAGTTAAAGAACGAACCAGAAGAAGCGTCTGGTCCTAGTAAATATCTTTCGAGCTAATAAAATATAGAAGTCAGGCGCTGACTACCAAAACAATACAATAAAAGTAAAAGTAGAAGAAAAACTAACCGATCCTATTTAAGCTGATAATGGGATAAGACAGGGAGATTTTGTCCTATTATTTAAGCTGATTATGAATGAAATAATAAAACAAAATAAAAAAGGGAACTAAAAAAAACCAAATGGGAGAAAAACAACTTAAAATAATCTGCTATGCACGCGACGCAATATTACTCTCTTAAGTGAAGATCATTTACAACTTATAGTGCACCAATTTAATATAACAGTAACAGTAATAATAAAATACATGGTTATAACAGCAAATTTACTAAGATGTAAATTAGAACTGGAGGGTCAGATAATAAAATAAGAGTTTAAATATCTTCATCATCATCATCATTTGGCTCTATGTGAGCCTTGGTCGCGTTTACTATTTCCCTCCACTGTTGTCGGTCATGAGTAGCTATTTCCCATTGCTGTATTACCATTTTGCGTAGATTACTGGCTACTGCGTCCTTCCATCTCTTTCTTGGGAAACCAACTGACCTTCTGCTATCGGGCCTTTCCCAGAATGTGGCATTCAGGAATCTTTCATCATTCGATCTTAGCACGTCGCCCATCTTATTCGAGTGGATTTAATGTAGGATACTATGTTTTTATCTCCATATACTGTCAGGAGTTCATCATTGTGACTTCTTCTCCATTCTCCTGTTGTCTCTTCTCTGCAAGGCCCAAAGATAGTTCGCAGTATCTTTCTTTTCAATACCGCTTTTGTTGTTTCCCGGTGGTTCAGAGTCCATGTCCATAATGAGTAATATGCTCTGTTTCCTGCAATGATCTTGGCTGCTACGTCCTTTTAATATTTATTTTCAGATGTTATGATCGCTCCCAGGTACTTGAATTCTTTGACGACATCAAAGTTGTATTCATTATTTATTACGTTTTGTCTAACCCTTGGCCTTGGGTTATTCGTAACCACCATATAATTGGTCTGGCCCTCTTTGACCTTCAGACCAACTTCCTAGGCTTCGTTTTCGAATTGGGTGAAAACTTCTTTTGCATCTCTGGTGGATTGTGCAGTTGTGTGCACGTCATCTGCAAACGCCAATAGTATTATTGATCCTTGGGCGGCAAATATGTTTGTCAGTTTTAGTTGACCTTGTTTTACCGCATGTTTCAATGCAAAATTAAATAGCAGGGGGGCAAGAGGATCTCCTTATCTCCGCCTGGTGTCAATGAGTTTAAATATCTAGGCATTATATTACCTAGCTACGGAAAGCTCGAAACTGAAGTGAAAGATCAAGTGAATAGAGCAAACAGAGGAAAGAAAAATTTCGGGAAAAAAATAAAATGCAGAATTTATAAGACAGTCATCAGACTAATACTAACATACACGGCAGAAACACGACCTGAGATGGTGAGAACAAAAAGGATGTTAGACACACCAGAGATGAAAAATTAATGGTAATGCACTATGGAACAGAGCTAGAAGTACATATGTATGACGTAGATGCAAGGTAGAGAATATCAAGAACTGGGTAAGAAATATAAGAATAGCAGGGAACGTTCATATAAGCCGAATGACAATAGATAGAGTAGAAAAGCAAGAAACGCTTCCCCGATAGAAAAACGATCAGTAAGAAGACCCCGAAAACGATGAGACGACAACTTACTGGAGACACATTGAAAAATAGACAGAGTCATGTCTACATAAAAAGAAGCAGAAGAAGTCAAACGCTAGAACGCCTACTAAATCAAATATTTCTGTACTGAATAAATAAGCAGAGTGAAAAGAATCTTACATTTTAACAATAATTTAAAGGGTAACAAAGACAAAAATAATGTCAAAATTAGGGGAAAAGCGGTCACAAGCTCATTGATTTACAAAGAAAAAAATAAAAATACAAAGATAAAAGGCAAGGTTTTAGAGCCGGATAATTGACGGTAGCTCTAAGCTATTTGCAGCGTTTTAGAAGTTGTAGCTGTCAATGTCAAAGTTTCGGCACCATAGGTCATCACAGGCAACACACATTGGTCAAATGTTTTACGTTTTAAAGGAATTGGTATATCACTTTTAAATATGTCTTTGAGTTTTCCATAGGCTGCCCATGCTAGGTTTATTCTTCTTTATAGTTCGCATATTTGATTGTCTCTTGTGATGTCCAATATATATGTATTTTTCCACCAGCTCTACTTCGTTGTCTCTAATAATGATATTTCCGCTAGGAATAGGTTTGTCATAAATTTTGTTTCGGAGGTGTTTATTATAAGACACACACTGGTACACGCTAACTGAAGTTCATGTAGCATTGTACATATCTCTTTGAGGTTGTCTGGTAACAAAACTATGTAGTCGCGAATTTCAATGTCGTGTTGGCTTGTGCACATCAATTTGTAGAAGTCTTCAAGTTTTTTAAAGGTTTCCCCTCTGTTGGTTGTTAGATGACTATTTTTATCTAGCCAAGCAAAAAATGTGTATAAAAAAAGTTAACGAACTTTCTCATTGGAACATACCCCATCTAACCCCTTAAACCTTGTATATCCCTTCATCAATAAAATTCATTCAATAAATCTTAGCACCTATACTCGATAATATTTTTCTTCAACAAACATTACCTTTTTCTCTCTTCAAATTTAGCTACTCCTTGAACCATAATTACTTCTAAATTTATCACATCATTCATAAAACATGAATATGACCTAATTATATACAATAAAGTAAATCTGAAATTGCAGATTACTTAAACTTTCAGTGCATCATATGACATTATGAATAACATCAAATTTTTAAGTATTTAAAATCGTATATTCAAAGAAGAAGAATATAGGAAGACTGGGATACTAACAGATCAGCCTTACATGATATACAACGTTCGATAAATAATATTTGTAAATTTGGCTCTATAGGCCACTCAAGATGAGATCTCATAGTGATAAAAAGACTTCGCGTATGTAATTTAAAACTAATCCCTAGCTATCTGATGTCTTTTAGCACAAATTTCTGTTATAAACTACACAAAAACCGTCTTCTTAAGGCATTTTCCGTGACGTGCGATCGTTTGAAATGTAAAACATTAAATTCTGCGTTTTTTATTTGCATTTCAAATGCCTCACACATATTTGTTGCCACAACTCAAAATTGAAATTTTATGTCATAGGTTTTAAAGTTTGATCTCAAAAAAGGAAATATTACTACGACTGGTCATTAAAATGGTCAATTTTATTGATCTTACGATAATCTTACAAAATGACAAAAATCGTGCTACGTTTATATATTTAACACCTTTATAAAAACTGAGTTTATTCGTGGCAAAATACAAAAATTGCAAACGAAAGATGAACTTTCTAACTTTAAAACGCATCTTGATTTTTGTCGATAGGACATTTGAAGCAAAAGATATCGAATTTTTACTGTCGAGTTGATACAAATTGTATTGAACATTAATTTCGTGCACGTTACTCATATTCTAAATCGACGGTCGCTTTAAGCGTTGTTTCTGAGAGAACGGTTCATTCTACACAGAAAGTGCTAATGAACATTTTTGTTTAAAATTATCTCAGCTACACGTTTTATTTGATTTTTTTCTACGACCTACAGATTCTGGGTAAATCAATTTTTTTTGTGTTTTTAGTCCCCCTACGCTAGTTCGTATGATTTTTAGGGTCAACTCTTTGACGACTGGGCTAAAAGATGGGCAATGATATTAGAAAATATAATTACCCACATGGTATTAAACCATATATTATAACATATCTTACTATGTAAGATTAAATTTGTTTATTGTAGCGTAGACAAATTCGTATGTAATTATAAGTTCGAATTGTTTTTAATTCCCTAAGTCCGATTTTTCTCGATCAACGATGATAAAATAAAACATGCATAGAACCAAAAGCTGTATTGCCCTCTGCATAGAACCAAAAGCTTTGATTTTTGAAGGCTAGTGGCCTAAGCTACTAATAGTGGCTCGTGGCCTAAGCTATGTTAATATTGTATAGTTTCACAATTATATACGTGAAACTACGCAAATGCAGGAAATTAAGATCAATGTGAAATTATAAATTAATGGACTAATTTGTGACTGAACATAACTGTAGTTGTTTAAGTGGCCATATTCGCCGAACATGTTAATGATAATTAGAAAAAAAATATTTATTTCAATTATTTTATTTCAGGAAGGAAAAAGGCAACACTATGATCTAGCGAAATTTACAAGGCTAAGATATGGCAAATGGCTGCCCCAAAATTATAACAAAAGTGACTTCTACGCCCAAACGACAGATTACGATCGAACACATATGTCAGGACAAGTAAACATATACGGACTGTATCCACCCAGCTTGGGTGAAAGATGGAGACTGTTGACTGATTGGCAACCTATTCCACTTCATCCAGCTGATTCTAATATTTGGGAAACAGTACCTAACTGTGCTGCTTTTACACGAGAATATGCACAAGTTTTGGCATCTGATTTGTATGCTGCTATTGATAAACAGTATGCAGCTGTATATGCATATTTATCAAAATATTCAGGTCAAAATATTACCACTCTCTCACAGGTCTATCCAGTCTTTGATAGTTTTAAAAGTGAATCTACTGTTGGCCTTCGTCTTCCAGTATGGGCTTCAAAGGTATATCCGAAACCATTAACAGAACTAGTTGGACATTTCTTCAACGCTTGGGTTTATACCACTAAGCAACAACGATACTGTAAGTACATTTGCAAATAGTTTTGTTTCTCAAGCTTGTATAAAAAATGAAGTGTTTTTAGACGATACTCTACTTGTCTTAAAGAGGTGGCCACTTAAAGAAAATTTTTAAATTAAGTGACTTCTAGATGAGTCGACTTCACGAGAGTCTTTGCAGAGTGAGTACTAAAATAAAGTACGGAGTACCATTCTCAAAACATAATTTTATTGACAATCAGAGATTCCATTACGACTTTACAAAATAAAACAATGTTGTTCTTATCCTCAAAAATACTACTCAAGATGCAGTAAAAATATATGTCTCAGAACAGAATACCAGAAAAGATCAATACAAGGCCCTATCTGCTTGCAACATTACAAATTTTATAAATGCCCCACTTTCAACCCATACGTTGTATTAATTGCCAGCTATTCTTCTCCTTTTGTTAGTCCTCAACTGTGCACGAAGATTTTTGTATACTTTAATTAGAATACTGATGAAGTAAGTTGTTAAAGTTCATATTAAAACTTGGAATAATGTTAGTAACCAAGTTTAATAAGAGTCGCTGATTCAGTTATAAATATTAGTAGAAATTGACATATACTCGAAGCAACTTGCTCTTCTGTAAGCTTGAATAAAGCATTTGGAGCTTGAAAAGGTCAAAAGGGCATGTAAGGGAGGTACATTGCATTGTTTTAGCCTAGCTTAACATGCACAGGGAAAGTTTTACGTACATTTAATCCTGTAATAGTAAGGTAGTACTTGAGCACGTATTTAATTCATAGAACGACTACACAGGTACCTACAGGAACACGAGGATGTTAAAACGGTCTAACATTTGAATCTTGCTAATAAGTCACTCTCTTCAATTAAGTTTTGAGTTTGATATGGCTTAGCACCTAAAAATGGAGTGTTTATTAATTTTTAATAATCGTATATCAAAATTCAAGGTCTTTTCCAAAATTTGAAAAGATTTTGCTTTTAAAAGCTTAAATTGTTTTGTGTAACATCATACTCTATGTAGTTTTTTTTATTACAGATGCAGGAGCATTGCTAGATTCCATCCTTAAGTACTTTGACAACAAAATAAATGGTTCAGTATCCCAACAATTCAAAATGTACAGCGGACATGACCTCAATGTAGCTTCTGTATTAAGCGCATTTGGCGCATTTAATCCACCCTATCCTCCAGATTTTGCGAGCAGTATATATTTGGAATTAAGAAATAATTCAGGCAATTATTTTGTAAACGCATGGAGCAAAGACGGATCTAACTTCAAAAAGGTTTCAATAAGAGGCTGTTCTTTGGATTGTCCTTTGGCTGAAGTTAGACAAAGATTGAATGAGATATTAATTGATGTTGATACCAAAATCAAAGAGTGCAATGCTAAATTGGAATTCGAAAATATTGATGTAGAAAATATGTACGAAAAGCTTATCGAAACTGGTGAAATTGAACGACTTAAAAATTTATTTTAAAGTGAGTTGAAATGCGGTTAACATGTAGTAATAAAATAAAATTTATATTATTGTTGGTATACAGTTACATTTATTTATCCTTGGCTTATATTTAAATTTAATCATACAACAAAGAAGAGTGTGGGTAGTAAGTCTTACCCCCCTCCCCCCCTAGTGAACTCCGATATTTAAGACAAAGATGAAAAACGCTTAAACCCGTCAATTTTTATTGTAATAGAGGTATTTTATAACATAAAAAAATTGTCACCCCTTTCATCCTCTTCACTTGACAGCTACCCTCTCAGATTTTATTAAATAGCAATGAGGTCGTGCGATAGTTCGTTGGAAAGGGTTTGAAAAGAAGAATTCTAAAATCTATTACACTTTACTTTAATTTTGCGGATCTGTTGTTAACAACGATTTATTGTTTGGAGTTCCACTTTGCGATATAACAATACAAAAGTAGGTACACTGGTTTTGCTTTAATATGGGACATTCAGTATAAGAAATTTTATTTAATTTTTATTCTTAAACGTTTATACCGAATTATTTTTTTACAGAATAAATACTTTTGTGTCGTTAAAACACATCGTGGTTGGAACAATTTTTTAAATAATCTAGTTGGCGTGTCTAGTTTTTGATAACTCATAAAAACCAAGCAATTAGCACTGTTAATTGTAAACAATATTGACAAGAACTTGAGATTTAGTGAGCTTTAGTGGTAACCTGTAAATTTGTAGTATTCAAAAGTAAAAACAATCAAAATGGCACTACGTCGTAGATTAGTGGACAAATGTGAAGCAATTTTAATATTCAGTGAAGCAAGCCGTGAACCACCATGAAGCTGTGAGAATTATTTAATGAACGTTTCCCGAATCGTCCAATTGATCGACGTTACTATAGATTACTTTTGTTACTATACCAAATTTTGTAAAACTGGTTCTGTCGAAAAGAGAAACAGTATGGTAGAAAAAAGACTTGTGAGAAAAAGCAAGTAGATATTTTGTCTCAATTTGTAGTAAATTCATCCAGTTCAACTAAAAATGTTGCTCGCGAGCAAAGTAAGTCACAGGACCGTCTTAACCATTTTAAAAAAGCAAACATTTAATCCCTATAAGATGAAAATTTCTAACTAAAATATTTTGCCTACCACATGGGGTATTAATACAAGGGGTAGAAAATTGGGGACTAGAAACTAAGGGGGTGGAGATAAGGCAAGCAAAATAATCGCTACTTGTGCGAACGGCACTCAGGGTTTGTTAGGAGAGCTGGGGTCGTGGATAAGTAAAAGATAAGAGGGGTGGAAATGGGGCAACTACAAAAATATGAAATAAAAGAGTCATGAATCTCTTGGATAAACAAAGCAAAAATAAACAGAAACACCTCTAGTAATTTAATATAGGGCGCCACTTTGAGGTGCCTAATTATACCTATTACAACCACTAGTTGTAACTAGGGAAATAATTATAAAACATCAAAACATATCTTTTTCAAATAAAACTCAAAAAAGGAGTTAGTTAAAAAAATAAACAAAATGTTAAGAAAACAAAATTTAACATTTATTGTGTCTTACCACAAACAGTTACACAAATACAGATGACACAAAAAATAAACTATATAAATAGTTGTATAAAATACACAAATACAAAGAAAAAACTTACATGTTCATCTGTTTACAAAGAAGATTGCTACAAAATCTTTCAAAATGGCATAGAGGTTAACCTTCTTTAAAAATAAAATAAACTAAAATCAAAAAATAATAAAACGTGCTGTCATAAGTTAACAATAAATTTAAAAAAAAACTGAATACACAAATTGACAGCTAAAGTCAAACTCTAAAATTTTATAATTTATTAATTATTATAAATCCTTTAAATTTCAATGAAAGCAATTATTGTTATTTAAAATAAAAGCTATTTTACTATGAACACATAATGTTACCTTTTAATTCACAAACTTTGCCACTTAACTTTGAAAAACTTGCTACTATCTCTGGGATTGGAGCTGCAAGGACGAAACTCTCAACTGGAACAAAAGGAAACCATTTCCATACTCAGGAACGAGAGATCTGGTTACAACAGCAAAACTGGTGGACATCCTATATAACTGCTTCAAAATTCTACCATGTTCTGGTATACTACACAATTTATTTTCCACTGCTACACATTTCCACAAAAAGGGGCCAAAACAGAAAACTACAAATTCGACGGTGAATTTGGATTTATACTGAGCCTACAGCGACCCAAGTAAGAACTTAGATCCATACCTGAGACTACGACGACCCAAGTAAGAATGACGAAATTCTCTTAAGAATTCGTTCACTTAACTTGAAAATAAACAAACGCTGAAATAACAAAACACAGCGGAAATTAAAACGTAAAAGATTCCATTTCCACGACGTATAAAAATTATAAGACGACTTCGAATAAAACGTTAAAAGAAAATGCCGAGAAAGTACTTACACATCTTTAAAATAATAAAAAACTCTCAAATGGTTTTATTACTTGGCGACGTTGAAAAGAACGAAATATTATTTGAGTTTCAAATTGAACGATACGAACGAAAGATACATTAAAAGTTTTTTCAAAGATATGTGAGGGGATTTCAATATATTACATATACGAAGGGATTTCAATATACACCAAAAAAATCAATGAATTGCAAATGCTACAAATTGTGCACGAATTGACGATGATGATGATCCAGATCGACGACTGCAATATTATGAAACTATGGATAATAATATTTCACAAAATCCAAATTATTTAAGACATTTTTGTTTTTCCGATGAAGCTACATTCTATTTAAATGGTCATGTGCATCGACAAAACGTAAGATATTGGTCTGACGAAAACCCTCGATTGTTTCGAGAGTGTCAATCTAAATCAGTCTAAATTAAATGTTTGGGCAGGTATACTAGGGGATCACATTATAGGCCCTTTTTTTATCGAAGGCAATTTAACGGGGGAAAGCTATCTTAATATATTGGAAAAACAAATAATTCCTGCAATTAATGATATGCTTCGAAACAATCCAGGCGCATTCGCCCAAGATCTTGTTTTCCAGCAAGATGGAGCTCCGCCTCATTACGATGCTCGTGTTCAAATTTTTTTAAATAATTTGTATCCAACAAGATGGATTAGACATCGTGGATCCATTGAATGGCCATCAAGATTACCAGATATTACTCCTCTAAATTTTTATTTATGGGCTTACCTTAAATCCAAACTGTATGGGAGCTAGTTGACGACACTTAATTAACTCCGTCAAAGAATAATCGAAGAATATAATAGGACTGATATTCATAAACCCTACAAAGGGTTGGGGAGGCAACGAAACAAAGAATCTACTTCTGCCAGGATAGTAAATGGAGACTTTCGAGCATCTCCTGCAGTAATTTAAGTTTTCTTTAAGATAATTTGCCAGTTCCTTTAATTTTAAAGATTTAATTTAACACATTATTTTTTGTATATTTTATTTTAAATAAAACCATTTTACCATACAAAATTTCAAACATACATTTTTTAATTCTTTTTTCTAATCCCTTTCCAACGAACTATCACACGACCCCCCGTTGCTATTTAAAAAATCTGAGGGGTAGCTGTCAAGTGAAGAGGATTAAAGGGGTGACAATTTTTTTATGTTATTAAATACCTCTATTAAAATAAAAATTAACGGGTCCGAGCGTTTTTCATCTTTTTCCTAAATAACGGAGTTCACCAGGGCTGCAAGACCTAATATCCACATTGTATATGATCAATATTCTTTAAAATTTATCTCAAAAATATACGGTTTGAACATAAATAGACAATAATTGGTATAATTATCAATGTAGTTGCCATCTGAATGAGTGTTGGTTATTTTATATTCAGTGATCAAGAAAATTGGTAAAAGTTAGGGAGCCGTGAATTTTATAGAAAAATAACAAAAAGCACAAAAAGTTTTCTTAGTTTTCTTCAGCATTTAAACCATTTAGTAGGAAGATACTATCAGATTTGAGGTACTAAGCACTGAAGTTTATATTATTAAATAGTAAAAAAATAATAAAAACAAACCAAACTATTTGGACATGTTTGGTAACACGCTAGTTTTTCCTTTAGGGTATGTAATATTACGATAGACAAATAATATGCATGAAAGCCATCTTCTTCTTATAGTACCGACTTCACTAATAAAGGTTAGCTATAACGACTGTTTTAGCTCCAGTAGTGAATGCTTTTCAGCCAGGATACTTAGTCTCATGAGTTACTCTCTCTAGCTACTTCTTAGGATAATTTTTGACAGAATTAAGCAGAAATGTGAAGACACAATGGGAAATAACAATTCGGTTGAGAGAAGGATTGGGAACAAGGGAAGCTTTGTTCTCAATGCTAACACTACTTCAAACGATCATGAAAAGTACAGAAACCAATTTACGTCTATTTTATAGATTTTGAGAAGGCGTTTGATAGGGTTCAACATGGTAGTCTGTTTGAATATCTAGAAATGATTGAAATAGATGATAAAGATCTGAGACTTTTACAACATCTATATTGGAATCAAGACGCTTCTATTCTGGTAGACGGCAAAGAAACAGACAAAATTTGTATTCAAACAGGTGTTAGACAGTGTTGTGTGTTGTCTCCAACTTTGTTTAACGTTTACTCAGAAATAATTTTTAAACGAAACCTTGGAAGGGCAATGTGAAGTTTAAATGGGGGGAGAAATTTTTAACAACATAAGATATGCAGATGATACGATCAGGGCTGAAAGTATCGAAGATCTTCAATTCCTTATAGATCGAGTCACTAGAGACTGCTCTAATAATGGCCTAAGCATAAATACAACAAAGACAAAGCTACCTGTGGTAAGTAAACACGACCTCGGCGCTATACAACTAATTGTCAATAATGAACCGATAACAAAAGTTAACAATTTTAAATACCTAAAGTCCATTTCCATCATATTGATAGCACATTATGTATGCAAAACCGTAAACTGTTGATACGGGTGACTCAATGAAAAATAGATATTTGTCAACA